TGTGCTCTTTTAACCAAGGCCTTTTGAGGAATAGATTATAATGCCCAAAGTAAAGACACACTGCACATACCGAGAATCACTTCAAATGATACGTTCAAGAGTTCAAAAAAAAAACTTACATTGAACCGTTGTTGAACTATGTCTTGAAAGTGTCAAACACTTTAGCCTATTTTACCTCTTCTCAAATCTAACTCGAACAACGGAAAAAAATTGTGTGGAACATCCCAAGAGCTTAGAATCAATAAGCTAAAAGGAATGATATTGCTACTTATACACAAGTACAACAATGATAGGCTTATTGTATTCATCCACAATTCTCAACTCTCCTTTTGCCCCAATAGAATACAAAAATAAAACATATAATGATGAAAGGAAGTAATTAACCTTTTCATGGTGCAAGTTTATTGATTAGACTAACTAATAGTGTATATGCAATCACTTACGGTGCTCACTTGCTTTTATTAAAAATCAACGGCAGCATCGAAGACAAATTTGATGCGAAACAGATAAGCAAAGAGCATCTCAAATTTCTGAATTCAATAAAGACGTAATTCTTATAGTCCAACCGGTAACCCTACAGATCTAAAACAGAAGAATCGAATTGGGTCTTGATTTTCATTAAAATTTATGAAAGATGGAGAGAAATTTCAAAACCACAACCCAAAAATATAACCAAAAAGCAGAAAAAGATAACAAAAAACTGCACATTTCTTAATAACACAATATAATCATTTACCTATACAACAACAACACATGCAGGAAAACCAGACAGAAAAACTTTTCGTAATAATACAATATAATCATTTACCTATACAACAACAACACATGCAGGAAAACCAGGCAGAAAAACTTGATTTTTTTTGCTTTGCAAAATAAAGAAGAAGAGAGACAGAGCATCAACTCTCATAGAATGTCCTAAATACACATCAGTTTGGCAGCATTGCTACGTGTCTCTTCCAAAGCAGTATTAAGACACGTATGCAGCCTTTATTGATCAGTTTGGTAGTGTAAATGACCAAAAGACCCTTATTCTTTTATAAAAATGGCAAAAAGCAGTCATGTTGAAACTGCTCAAAACTTGAAAACTGTCTCTTCTATATAAGTAATATATATATATATATATATATAAAGGCACTTCAAATTTAGGGGCTTAAGGCACCTATCTTTTTCCTAACTTTTTACGGTCGACACTAAGGGGTGGTGCTGACTAATAGCGGTGGTTGTTGATATATAATGGAGGCGGAATCTATATAGTGGTGACGAGTGGAGTGATTGTTGATAGTAATTGATAGTTACTTTTAGTAACAGTGGTGATAAGGTTATCAGTGATGATCAGCTAGTGATAATTTGCAATTGATAATTAAAACTAAAGATGGCAAGTAGTAGAGTCAACTAGTTGAATGACGGAGATCTTCTTAACACGAGATTCTTCCACACAACCACCCTTAACAGAAGGTGAAGAAATAAAATAATTTCCTTCAAAGATGATGTTGGATCTTGGTTGTACGACCAAAACACAATCATGAATCAAACCTATGTCTTCTTTTACAACCTATTTACCACTAATAAATGTTCTTCAAGATGGAAGTTGGAGGGAACTCACACTCAAGATCCCACCAACCTTTCTATACTCGAGGAGGTCCCTACAAGTGCGGAAAGTTGGGCTCTATCAAACTAGTTTTCTTAGAAATAAGCAAACTAGTGATAACGCCATTATAATCCAGGAAATGATCTCTCACTTCCAAAAAATGAAAGGTAAAAAGTGCTAACATGATTCTAAAGATAGACCTCGAAAAAGCCTTCGACAAGTTGGAATGGGATTTTATCAGGAATACACTCCATTTCTTTAATTTCCCACAAAAATTCATCAATCTTGTTATGTCTTGCATCACAACCAGTGAAATTGCAATTCTTATAAATGGAACGAGAACAAAGTTTTTTTAACCTTCTAGGGGGATACGACAAGGAGATCCGATGTCACCCTATATCTTCATACTATGCATAAAAGTGTTATCGAATATGAGGTTAGCATAAAAAGATGGAGCCCTATTAAATCTTCCCCAAAAGATCCTAAGTTATCACACATTTTTTTTGCGGATGACTTAGAGTCTTAATGGCTAAAGCCAATGTATCAAACTGTGAGACCATCATAAATACTTTAGGAGATTTTTGTATTTCATCAGGCCAAGCAATCAGTAAAAACAAGTCAAAAGTTATCTTTTCCAAGAATTCCCCAGATGAATTAAGGAGGTCTATCTCCAACAATCTGGATATAAAAAATGGGGACTGCTTTGGAAAATACTTGGGCTTTCCAATAATAACTAATAGGTTCTCGAATAAGCATTTTCAATTTATCATTGATAACCTACAGTCTAAGCTAGCGGGCTGGAAAACTAAGTTTCTAAATATTGTTGGGAGAACCACTTTAGCTAAATCATGCCTATATTTGGTTAGCTAGAAATGAGAATCTTTATAAGAATATCCATACCAAAATTTCTACTAACACCCCTTTCATTCATGCTATGGAATATTTGGCCTTAACAGGGCATGAAGAAAAGGCTGATAATATTAGTCTCTCTTATGTCCCCTTAATGGTTACAAATTAAACACGGATGGCTCCTCCATAGGAAATCATGGAAGTGGAGTAATAAGGGACGCAGAGGGGAATTGGATTATAGCCTTGCTACAAGGGACTACAAATAGCAATCAGGAGGAAACTAATACCTCTAGAAATAAATGTAGATGGTAAGGAGATTTTAAACTTTATTGCTAGGGGAACCCCCCATACTCCATAGCTATCGGGAAACTAACAGTGTAGCAGACACACTTGCGAAGGAGGGGGCCATTATGCAGTCAACTAACTCCAGCTCTTTTTGGGAAGTTCCACCCCTGTTTGTTTTGAAGAAAGTTGAAGCAGACAAGGCTGGAACTCGTTTTGTTAGGCTAAAACGGCCAAAATCTATGTTGTACAAGTGTAATAATACTAGTAACGCCCCTCCCCTAAACTGTAACAGCAGCAGGCAAGCTGGTATGCCTCTACCATGTACTGATGCATATTAGTTATTAATATATTATCTTGTTTATAAAAAAAAATTGATGATGATAATTGATAATAGAAAGCGATAATGGCGGCTTCAAGGACTACCGTGGAGTAGTATTTAAATATCATTTTTGTATTAATTTTTGAACGGATCATAGCAAAATGATAGTAAGACTTTGTTATGTATTTTTAATTATTCAACTTTTTTAATTATTAAAATTTGAATTAGAATCAAACATTTATTAGATCATACAAACAAATAACGCATTATAGTTTTTATATTTCCGTTTATACATGTTAAAACCTTTTTTAGACGTTAGCTGAATATAAATATAACATGCATATGTTTAAAATACAAATTAAATTAGAAAGAGAACTTTCTAATAAGTATATGTGTGAAAATGATATCTACGAATATATTCCTGCCAAAGTGGTGGCCTGTTTTTTCCACCATTATTATTTGCTTTACGTGAGCAGAGTCTTAGAATAATAATAAAATTATTTTCGTATAAGTTATAGATTACGAGTATGAGTTATGAAAATAGTCACTAATGTCAGTATTAATTAGGGTATGTTGTCTACATCACCCCCTATAAGGTCCGCTCCTTTCCCAAATCCTACAAACAATGAATATTTTATTTACAGAACAGTTTTTTGCCGTTTTCCTTTATTTGCATTATGTCTGAGAATACGTTAGAAAACGAAAAAGGCTTGTTTTCTTATCTAATTGTTTCATATGGTATATTCTCTATTGATAATAATCACATCACTTTGAGAAAATATTTGCAATTTTGGCCTCTTCTTTCTTGGCCCGCAAATGGAGAATATTAATAGGAATTTCTTGTAATTAAATGGAATTTCTACATGTTTATCTTCTTGTAAGTTGTAATATTCTTATCTTTTATTGCCCAATTTCTTTCAAAAGTGAATATGAAATTCTATATACTTTTTATTGAACTTGTGTTGTCCCAATAAGTTTCACATTTGTCTAATATATTTGGTTCAATTGCTACAAGAAAGTAAGGTAAACAAAAATGAACCTTTTGACTTTGGTGATTTCTCTGCTTTTGATAGTGTGCAAACTTATAGGCTCATGGCTACAAAAAAGGCAAAGACGAGAATATTGCATATAAATAGAAAGATAGACAGTGCTCTTGTGCGGGCGAGAGTATTAGAGCAAAAAGATCAAGGATTTTATAAATATAAAGAGAAAAAGATAGACAGTTCTCTTGAGCTAGCAAGAGTATTAGGGCAGAAAGACCAAGAATTTTCTAGATATAAAGAGAAAGATAAACCGTTCTCTTGGGCTGTCAAGAGTACTGGGACAAAAAAATCAACGATTTTCTAGATATAAAGAGAAAGATAGTTCTCTTAGGCTGGCGAGAGTATTAAGATAAAAAAAACAAGAATTTTCTAGAAATAAGGAGAAAGATAGACCATTCTCTTGGGTTGTCGAGAGTACTAGGGCAAAAAGATAAAGGATTTTCTAGATATAAAGACAAAGATAGATAGTTCTCTTGAACTAGTGAGGGTATTAGGGCAAAAGACCAAGAATTTTTTAGATATAAAGAGAAAGACCGTTCTCTTGGGCTGTCAAGAGTACTGGGACAAAAAGATCAAGGATTTTCTAGATATAAAGAGAAAGATAGTTCTCTTAGGCTGGCGAGAGTATTAGGATAGAAAAAACAAGAATTTTTTTAGATATAATAAGGAGAAAGATAGACCATTCTCTTGGGTTGTCGAGAGTACTAAGGCAAAAAGATAAAGGATTTTCTAGATATAAAGAGAAAGATAGATAGTTCTCTTGAACTAGTGATGGTGTTAGGGCAAAAAGACCAAGAATTTTCTAGATATAAAGAGAAATACCGTTCTCTTGGGCTGGCGAGAGTATTAGGGCAAAAAGACTAAGAATTTCTAGATCAAATCACGCGAGTCATGACTCCACAATGGCATTGTTTACATAAAAGATGCAGTAATTCGTATAACTCATTAGGCTACATAGATGTGAATGACTTGAGGGACCTTTTCACGGCAAGGTCTACGTACACTTTATCCTCCCCAAACCCCTTGGATATGTTGTTGTTGTAGGCAATATAGATGTAAATCTCACGAGCCACTTGCCTCTTTTACAACTAGCAAGAGACTGCAGATTAGAACTAAAGGGCACACTCAGGCAAACAGTGGCCAACAGAACAGAGCCAATGTAGAAACAAAGAGAGCTATACAACAATGTACACAGTTATATAGTATGATCTCCACCTACCAAAATATTTGTGTAAAGTGATCCCTCTTAGGTCTATTAGAATGAGACCACAAGATCCTTCAAGGATCGAAGTTATATAGATTTAAGCGTAGGAAAAGAAGAAAAACGAATACTAGCCTTCATCGGAATCATTAATCTATAAGACAAACTCAGATATTTGAAGAAAGTTGGCAATGCATCCAGTATTGATCAGTTGCTTGCCAACTTTCTTAGTCTTCCATCTCTTCCTGCAGTTTTCTAGTTCCTCCTCCTTCATCGTCGAGAGTTCCTGAAACCACTGCTGATATTGCAAATCAATTGCTTTCATCTCCAACCTTAGCTCTGTATCCTCATCTTTCTCGATTATAGAAGAGAAAGAACCACTTGACATTTTGTCGATATCTGAATAAGTCATTTCTGAATCCTTTCCATATTCATTTGATGGTACGCGTTCTGCAACATCACTGTTGTTTTCCTGTGTTGTCCATTCATCGTGAAACAAGTACCTAAAATCCATCTCCGAGATGTTTGTACTACAACTTCTAGGAAATCCATCATTAATATGATCATCAGAGCATACATTAGCATCTTCAGCCATTACTCTAGAAACAACTGATTGTTGAGATTTTCCATCATCCACAAGCGTCAAGCGCGATGGGGAAGCAAATGTAACATGATGAGAAGCGTCATCTGAATTCACATACAATTCACCTTTATCACTTCGAGCACCAACTTGAGTTTCCACGTTAAAGCCAGAAATAACACCTTGGTGACCTATGGACTTGGACAAGCAACCACTCACGTCTGTTTGCCATGAATTTGAAGACATGTTTAAGCTTTCTTGAGGTTGTTTGCTTGGATTTCTCCCTCCACTAGAATGGTCACCAGAAGACGGATTCCAAGCAGGAAATATCTTCATTACTAGGTGATCAATAAAGTCAGCAATAAAAGCTACATCATGATCAGCTAGCTGCAAGTGTTCAACCATCTCAGCCGCAACTAACGGTGCAGTGTCAGTTTCAAGATAGAAAATGAAATGTATATTTCTAACACTACCTGTGCGCGATAACCAAATGTTTGGAATAAGAAAGAGGATATCTGATTCCCTCAAAAATAACAAATTGATATTCATATACTTACCAGCAGGATCTCTGATTCGCAAGGTCAACGAAATTGAGTTGGCATCATTCTTCTTCCCCATTAATTTGAATTCATTATTCTGATGACATCTCTGGAATTCCAAACCTGGAACACTAGGACTTCCACAACTAGAATCTGTATATGTAGACTCGAAATCCACATCCATGGGCTGAGGTAAAGGTTTCAATAAACTCAAGGATGTAGGACTTTGCTTAGGTAACTGAATTTGATTATCGACTGACTCCTCCAAGTTTTCAAATTGAAGAAACGGATCTTTCAGGAGCTCCCTAGCTGACAATCTCTCAGATGCTGCAGCCAAGCATTTTTCAATGAATGCTTTGACTTCAGCATCGGTAACTTTACCGAGGGAAGCAGGTTTAATGCCCTGATAATGCAATGTTCTTTTAGATCGATAAAATGACACAATTACAAACAGAATACAAATTTAAACATCGAATTATAGAACTTACTGAGCTAACTTTCTTATAAATTTGGGCAGAATTCTTGCACTCGCTGTAAGGGTATTCAAAAGTTACCATTTCCAACATACACATTCCGAAGGAATATATATCTATTAGTTCATTATACTCTTCTTCGTAGAGCTCCGGGGCCATGAATTCAGGGGTCCCTTATGTATATCAATAAATAAAGTCAGTACTGGAGAAAGAATTTTGTAAAAGATTATACTACAAGAAACAACCATACCAATAACACTCTTAGCAGTTGGCTGCTTCATAATAGTTGCCAATCCAAGATCACCAATCTTGATTTCCCCATGATTTCCATTGACAAATATTGTTGGTTTATTAGCATTTTAATATTAATATTTTATATATTAATTTGTTAAAACTTAGTATAGCCATTCTGCCATGAAGATGGAATAGAGGACGTGGGAGTTACATGCATTTGTTCCTCATTACTTAGTGGTCAATTAATGACCATATGTATTATGGACTTTGCTGCTTTCTGATGAACGTTGCAGTGAACGTTAGAATAGTCAAAGTGTAACACTTGGTGCATTTGTTATCCTCTCCTTTATTTCATTCTTTTATTCCTCCATTATACCTTGTAACCTATGTAACTCCTAAGGCCATTTATCTTCACTATTTACTACCCATTATCTTCCTATCAATTGGTAGGAAGACTTCCTCAACTATAAATAGTGATAGTCTTCATTTGGTTTGGGTGGGACTACACACAAGAAAAATATAGAGTGAAAGAGTTAGTCAAAAAAGAGAGTTCTTATTAGTTGAAGGAAGGTGTTCTTTTTGTGGAGCTTTGAACTCAACTCTTGTCCAGGGTTGTTGAGTTATATATTGTGAATAGGCTGTTGTATCCTGGAGGGGACAAGTCAAGAAGGACTACTGCTGGACCGGTGAAAACATTTGCTGCAGTGGGCTTGAATCTCCTTAAAGAGAGCGAGATATCCGCGCCTCAGCCTGAAGAGATTTATTTTCTTCATATTTATTTTCAATTGTAATCTTGTATTTTTGTTATCTTGTAAGTTTTCACTAACAA